CTTACGTTGTCACAGTTATTGTTCATCACAATTATAGTTGTTTGTTGAGTCTGTAAGCCCCTCCCTCCGAATATTCGTAGCTCTTTCATAAAGTTGTTTAGTAAAGCTAAGAATGAAATCTAGTTTGATTAGAAATCCTACATTTTGCCAGTTTGTGCTTTCTTTGTTTTCCAGCACTTAGCTGTTGAACTAATGAACCTCTCTTACCTTTCTAAACTTTTCTGCCTCTTCCACCTGTAGGTTAGGAAGAATTGCGGAGTCCGGTGCGGTGTTTTCCTTAACAGTAGCGTAGTATTCGGAGAAAGGAAACTTCGGACACCGGGTGTTTCTACCTGATAAACGTACGATAACCTACAGAAATAAAAATAACAACTTGGATAACGTACACTTGTTTTGATTTTGTTTGGAATAATTATTTTTATTATACAAATGATAAGTTAAAGCAGATTGGTAAACAGTTTGATTGTACTGTAGTGGTTGAATTTGATTTGATCATTCACGTGCTAGTCGGGTCAGTAACAGTAAAATAGGCTAACAAGGTTGATGATGGTGGTGTGTGTGTGGAAGGATAACAGGTGGATGTGAATAACATTAATAGGTGGATGTGAGTGACAGTAACAATTGGGTGGATGTTAGTGACAGTAACATGTGGGTGGATGTGACAGTACCAGGTGACAGTAATATGTGAGTGGGTGTGACAGTAACAGTTGGATGTGTGTACCAGTAACAGGTGGATATAAATAGCATTAACAGGTGGATGTTAGTGACGGTAACATGTGGGTGGGTATGACAGTACCAGGTGAATGTTAGTGACAGTAATAAGTGTATGTGAGTAGCAGTAATATGTGGGTGAGTGTAACAGTAACAGTTGGATGTAAGTAGCAGTGACAGGTGGATGTGAATAACATTAATAGGTGGATGTGAGTGACAGTAACAATTGGGTGGATGTTAGTGACAGTAACATGTGGGTGGATGTGACAGTACCAGGTGACAGTAATATGTGAGTGGGTGTGACAGTAACAGTTGGATGTGTGTACCAGTAACAGGTGGATATAAATAGCATTAATAGGTGGATGTTAGTGACGGTTACATGTGGGTGGGTATGACAATACCAGGTGGATGTTATTGACAGTAATAAGTGTATGTGAGTAGCAGTAACATGAGGTGGGTGTGACAGTAACAATTGGGTGTAAGTAGCTGTGACAGGTGGATGTGAATAACATTAATAGGTGGGTGGGTGTAACAGTGATTTGAGTGACAGTAACAGTTATGAGTAGCTAATATTTCTACTACATACCCCGGCTTCCACATAGTGACTAGAATTAGTTTTACTGGTCGCTGTGACTAAAAAGTGGTGGAGGTCTTCTTCTTGAGGATCCAGTCTAGTTGCAGCAGTGACTAGTCCCTAAAAAAAAGAAACATCAAAACTAAAATAACATTCCTCTAGTTTTAGAGACATCAATGACAAGTTGAATTTAGTAAGAAGAGTCAAGTTAAATGTGTATCTTACTAATTAAGTTGAGATAGACGACTTTAGACGTTTTCTTAATAATATATCTCGGCCATTTCTTTCTGTTCCACCAGCTGATTGGTCATTTTGGACGTAAACTTTCAGCCTGTTCAATGCGAAACTCCAAACTACAATTTATTGTTGTGTACACCTGTAATAAATACAAAACAAAGTGTTCTTACCGTTTCGGGATCGATAGAGAAACGTTTGATGTGTTCGTTATGAACTTGTTTAACACCATAACTAAAGGGAGCTCCGTTGGGAGTCGTAGCTCGTACGTGAAGTACTGAATCTCCTGGTTGCAAGAGATCGTCCAATGTAACGTCGTATTGGACAGAGGTAAATACTGGCGTTGGTTCGTCAATACTGTCCTTGTATATCTCAACGTTTAATTGAATAAAGCTTGAGGAATAGAAAAACAACAACAAAAATTAAAACCAAACCCTCTCCCCATTTCTATTTTTAGATACTTATATACATTAGCCTACCTGTACATTAGTCAGATAGTGATAAGCTTTAGAGCTTATAACGCTACAGTTCAAGGTTCGATTCCAGGAGTGGGCACAGCTTTGTGCTTAAAAAAACGTTATTTACATTTTACAGAACATTTGATAATTTTGTGGTTAATGGTAAGGAAATATGATTAGAACTTAAAATCTCACAGTAAAGTCCGTCTCAATAAGTCTGTAAAACCTTGTTCACAGTGACTATATTATATCCCCAAAACATACCTGTAGAGTGAGTGTTATGTTAAACAATGTAGATCACACCACACAAACTTCTTACCTGTAGGGTGAGTGTTATGTTAAACAATGTAGATCACATCACACATACTTCTTACCTGTAGAGTGAGTGTTATGTTAAACAATGTAGATCACATCACACGTACTTCTTACCTGTAGAGTGAGTGTTATGTTAAACAATGTAGATCACATCACACGTACTTCTTACCTGTAGAGTGAGTGTTATGTTAAACAATGTAGATCACATCACACGTACTTCTTACCTGTAGAGTGAGTGTTATGTTAAACAATGTAGATCACATCACACATACTTCTTATCTGTAGGGTGAGTGTTATGTTAAACAATGTAGATCACACCACACATACTTCTTACCTGGAGAGTGAGTGTTATGTTAAACAATGTAGATCACATCACACGTACTTCTTACCTGGAGAGTGAGTGTTATGTTAAACAATGTAGATCACACCACACATACTTCTTACCTGGAGAGCGACTCCTCTCCACTGTCCGAAGCTTTGATGTTTAGGGAATGAACTCCTAGGGACAGGGCTTGAGAAGCAAAAATTTGTCCAGTTTTAGGATGAATAGAAAATACTGGGTTCGGCGGAAGTATTTCGTATTTGATGACGTTATTTCCGTTAAAAGGACTGTCTTTATCGACGGCTTCCACCTGGTATATCACTTCTCTTTGGGATGTGGACAGAGGAACTCGGAGGAACTTTGGTGTGGAGAGAAAAACTGGAGGGTTGTCATTAATGTCGTTCACAGTTATCTGAAATGTAGAATGTGTGGATAATCATTGATTTTGTTGACGGATTTGAATGTCAAAGATCAGGCGGTGTCAAATTCCACAATATGTTCTAATCACTGTGTTTATTCATTTTTTGGTGAAACGTATTTGAAAAACTCTTCAAATTGAGATTATTATAGATAATTTTGTATTAAACTTTATGACATTATAACGATCACCTGTAATATTTTGTTCATCAGCATAGACAGAAAAGCCAAGTCCTTAATGGACAACAGTGTTTGTAGTTCATGTTCTTACCTGGTTAATTGTGGGTATAAGCCAAGTCCTTAATGGACAACAGTGTTTGTAGTTCATGTTCTTACCTGGTTAAATGTGGGTATAAGCCAAGTCCTTAATAGACAACAGTGTTTGTAGTTCATGTTCTTACCTGGTTAAATGTGGGTATAAGCCAAGTCCTTAATGGACAACAGTGTTTGTAGTTCATGTTCTTACCTGGTTAATTGTGGGTATAAGCCAAGTCCTTAATAGACAACAGTGTTTGTAGTTCATGTTCTTACCTGGTTAAATGTGGGTATAAGTCAAGTCCTTAATGGACAACAGTTTTTGTAGTTCATGTTCTTACCTGGTTAAATGTTGGTATAAGCCAAGTCCTTAATGGACAACAGTGTTTGTAGTACATGTTCTTACCTGGTTAAATGTGGGTATAAGCAAAGTCCTTAATGGACAACAGTGTTTGTAGTACATGTTCTTATCTGGTTAAATGTGGGTATAAGCCAAGTCCTTAATGGACAACAGTGTTTGTAGTTCATGTTCTTACCTGGTTAATTGTAGGTAAAAGCCAAGTCCTTAATGGACAACAGTGTTTGTAGTTCATGTTCTTACCTGGTTAATTGTGGGTATAAGCCAAGTTCTTAATGGACAACAGTGTTTGTAGTTCATGTTCTTATCTGGTTAAATGTGGGTATAAGCCAAGTCCTTAATGGACAACAGTGTTTGTAGTTCATGTTCTTACCTGGTTAGTTGTAGGTATAAACCAAGTCCTTCCTTGGACAGTAATGGTTGCAAACCAAGTCCTCACCTGAGAAATAGTGGCCACAAACTAAATCCTTACTCTTATATTGATGGTTACAAAACAAGTCTTTACCCAGAGAATGGCGATTACAAACTATATCATTACATGGATTGTGGTTTTAAACCAAGTTCTTGCCTGGACAACAATAGTTACAAACCAAGTCCATCCATGCCCGAGTAAATCTTTACCCACAAATTGATGGTTACAAAACAAGTACCTACCTGGACTACGGTTGTTACAAATTGTGGTTCTGGTGCCTCGTCTCGAGCTTCCACAACTAACTCTAAATATTTCACTTGCTCGCGGTCTAAAGGAGAAATTAGAGAAATCTTTCCACTTTTTTGGTCTATCCGAAACGGTTCCGGTCTCGTTGCGCGAACGATTCGATATCCGATTTCTCCTGCTTCTCCGGAGTCTACATCAGAAGCATGTACAGTCAGCAACGGAAAGTTGCTTAAGTTCTCGTCTATCGCAACGGTGTAAGCGAACTGCTCAAAGTCGGGTGGGTGATTTCGCACATTCGAAACGCGGACAGTCAAAGTCGTTTTACTAATGCTAGAGGTGATTCCGTGATCTTGTGCAAACACCTCCATTTCAAATGACGTATTTCTTTGGACGTGATCCGGAAGGCCGGATGCTAACCTAACCAGGCCAGTTTGAGGGTCAATCTCGAACAAACCGTACGTGTTTTTAATCCAGTAGGTCACTTCTCCATTGTTGGCAGCATCCGGATCTCGGGCGTGGAGTTGAGCAATGGACCTTCCCGCTTTTGATTCTTGAGGTATACTGATTGCATAACGACCTCGTTCGAACTGCGGCGGGTTGTCATTTTCATCTTCCACTTCTAGGGTCACCGCAACTGCCGATTCAAATTTCCCGTCCGTAGCCACCACGTTAAATTCGTACTTTTCTTTCTGCTCTCGGTCCAGTACGAGATTTGTACATAGCTCTCCGGATACTTGATTTACCGTAAACGGAACGTCTTTAGTTCCTAGAGAGTACGTTACGTTATCAACGGTATCGCCGCTGTCTGCTTCCACCTTGAAGAGAAAAGAAGAAGGGTTGAGATAACTAATTACTTTGTGTTGTAGGTTATGAAACATATTTGAATTACGTGAAAACAAAGATAAGTTAAATAATTCTAAATAACAAAACATACAAAATATATCGGAAAGAGCCAACTACAAATAACAGTGTCTCAGTTTCACCTGTAGAAACACAAAGGTGAGACATTATTACCAGCTACCAGGCCCAGAGCATGGCCGAGGGTTTATGCTTCGTAAACTGTTGTCGTAAAATGCACTTTGCAATTTCGGGCTAGAGTGCGGTATAAGAATAACAGTCAAATCCCACTATTCAATCAGACAAGAGTGGCCCCAGAAGTTGACGGTGGGTGCTGTTGATACGTAGATGGCCATTGAGTGGCTTTGCATGAACATCCAAACAATCTATCTAATGTAGATTACATCGAAGATGGAGGTATCCACATAGACGACATATTTAAATTTGAAGAAAACTAATTAATTAGAATACTTAATGTTATAGTCGATTTGTATCATCCCGAGGAAAAAATATTCTTTAAAATACCGATAACATCTGCTCTGTTTGTAACAATTTTCATTGACCAGAAATGACGAATTACGTGTTTGACCTGGAAGATCGCTTTTCATATTAACCATCATATCCACTCTACCACATACTACACCACTTGAGGTCACTGCCATCGTAGTTTGTTTCCCTTGTTTGTCACCAGGGAGTTACTTTTGATGACTTAATTTCGCAGCTTTCTCTCTACTCATTAGTTTGGGAGACTTCAATGGATGCGCGTGATTTTGGAACTACACTGGAGAAGAGGGAATCCATGGAAATGTTCAGGTCAGATCAGAACTTTTCCCTCTTTGAAACAACTTCCTTGCCACAAGTCAAGCGTTTTTCAGCTACTGATCTGTCACTTTGTTCATCATCCTTTAATTCGAAACTTGGCTGTATTCAACATGGCATTTCCCATCATTCTGCGATAGGTTGACTGTAGTTATTGCCATGTGATTTAGTGTTAGTGGGTGACTGTATTTAATGCCATCGACTTAGTGGGTGACTATTTAATGCCATCTGACTTAGTGGGTGACCGGCTCTCCTTCGCCACTTATGTCATTCTTAACTCTTCATTTGATAATGATTCTGTGGAGGTTGGTGATTAATTGTCCAAGAAGTTTTACACACGATCCCAAAGAAATTGATCCATTTTCTATACTACACTCATTCACAGTGGACCAGGGACTGCCTAGAGGCTCAGAAAAGGGTCTGTGGTATTTCCTACTAACTTTATAGACTTTTAGAAAGCTCGAGTTCAGGACCGGGAGATCAGACATCAGAGACAGAATGAAAGGGAGAGAGGCTTTGATCTGGTACACTTCCAGTATCTTTTCCACTACTAGTTTAAAGGTCATATGAAGATTGAGGAGGTGAAGGAAAGTACACGTTCCTTCCCTTTTCAATCATGCAACCCTATACTCAAGAGGAAGCTGCTTTACAAGGAATTGTCAACATTCTTGTTGGCAATATATATGTTGAACTGAATAATGTCCATTGTTGGCCTGGCAGTATAATATCTATTGAAATAGATGATGTCAATTGTTGGCCTGGCAGTATAATATCTATTGAACTAGATAATGTCCATTGTTGGCCTGGCAGTATAATATCTGTTGAAATAGATGATGTCCAATGATGGTTTGGCAGTATAATATCTGTTGAACTAGATGATATCCATTGTTGGCAGTATAATATCTGTTGAAATAGATGATGCCATTGATGGTCTGGCAGTATGATATCTGTTGAACTAGACTCTGTCCATTGCTAGTCTAGCAGTATAATATCTGTTGAACTAGATGATGTCCATTGTTGGCAATATATATGTTGAACTGAATAATGTCCATTGTTTTCCCTGGAGAGTATCTGTTGAACTGGACTATGTCCATTGCTGGTCTAGCAGTATAA